TAACCTATCAAGCCTAGCTAGAACTTGAGCGCGCGCGAAGCGCGCGCGATGGTTCTATATATATATATATATATATATATATATATATATGCATACACTTATACATGTATGTATGTATCCCCGCGTGCTGTGTGTCTGCGTGTGTGTATGTGTGTATGCGTGGTGTGTGTGTGTGTGAGAGAGAGAATGTGTGTGTGTGTGTGTCTGCGTGTGTGTATGTGTGGTGTGTGTGTGCGTATCCCCCCACTCTCTTTGACATTTGACATGGGCTGCCTCTGCATAGAAGAAGCTGCTTGATTCCGTTGCCTCTCCACTCGTCCTGCACGGTCTCGCGCCTTCACATTCGTTTCGCAATTCCTCTCTCATTCCTGCCTCTCCCTCCTTCTTCCTTGCACTTGCCTGGCCTCATTCCCTTCCACTCTTGCCCTTCATTCTCCCTCCTTCATTCACTATTTCTGTCCCTCCTCCTGCCCCTTCCCTCCCCCTTTCCTTCCCTGCATTTGCCTCTCCTTCCCCCGCAAGGTGCTCGGCGGGGCGCTCGACGAGCAGCAGTCGGAGCTGGAGGAGTCAAGGGCGAAGGAGCAGCTGATGGCGGCACAGGCGGACCGACCCGCCCCGAGGAGGAGGAGGAGGAGGGGGGTGGAAGGGGGGTGGAAGGGGGGTGGAGGAGGGTTCCGATTACGCGGGGGTTGGAGGAGGGAGGAGGAGGAGGAGGGGGGTGGAGGCGGGAGGAGGGGGGAGGGAAGAGGGAGGAGGGAGGAAGGGGGGAGGAGGGAGGAGGGAGGGTTCCGCGGGTTCCGAGGGTTCCGAGGGTTCCGATTGCGCGGCCGTCGTCAATCAGCCCTGGGGCGCAGCCCGAAGCGGCCCTGCCTGCGCAGGGCCGCGTGCCGAGCCCGACGGCACGGCGTTCCGAGGGAGGTGCCGCGCGCGGCGCGGGACGCCAGAAGTCGGCACAAACGAAGAGGGTACGGAAAGAGCGGGTACAGCGCCCAAGAGCCCTTGGCATCGCTCGGACGTGTGCATTCTTTTTTTCTCGGCGACGGCCATCGAGGACCATCCTTGATCATTTGGCGAAACAAACACGCACGAAACCGAAACATACACGAGGAATGGACGTCCGAGCGATGGCGAGGAGCCTTTCCTGTTCACTTTGAGCAGGACTCGCTGTCGGTGTCGCCGCGGCCGGTGCACACTTTGAGACAGGAGGCCGCTGGCCCGGCAGCGGCCGCCGCTGGCTTGGGACAGCATTTGCTCTTGGGCACTGTGCCCATTGTTGTCCGTACCCAGGTCGGGCGTCCAGAAGAGGATCAGGAGGGAAAAAAACACACAGACACAATTAATCGTCCACTCCCAGAAAATATGGGAAAATATGGGAAGTGGGGGGAAGACAGAAACCCAGAAAATATGGGAAAATATGCGGAATATGTTTATTTGTGTGTATTTATTTGTGTGTTTGTGGGCCCCTTCAGAGGACCCGCCCGGTGGCAGGCCGAGAAGCGAGGGGAGCCAGCGTGGCGGCGAGGGGCGCCAGCCCCAAGGCGCCTCCCGGCGGGGAGGCCCAGGAGAGCGAGGCGGATCCAGCCGCCGCGGCGAGCAACAGGCCACCCTCCTCCTCCTCCTCCTCCTCCTCCTCCTCCTCCTCCTCCTCCTCCTCCTCCTCTTCCTCCGTCTCCTCTTCCCCCTCCCCCTCCTCTTCCTCCATCTCCTCTTCCCCCTCCCCCTCCTCTTCCTCCATCTCCTCTTCCCCCTCCTCCTCCTCCTCCTCCGCCGCGCCGTGGCAGCGACCAAGATCTCCGAGGCAGACCCGCACGGAGGCGACGAGCACGGCACGGCCGTCAGCCCCAGGTCGGCCCCCCGAGCGTCGCGGCGCCGCTGCACCTCAGCCCGTGAGCCCGTCGTCTTGACCGCGAGCTCCGTGAGCTGCTCGACAGGGAGCGTCTCGAGGAGGCTCCTCCTCCTCCTCCTCCTCCTCCTCCTCCTCCTCGCCGTGCCCGCGAGACTGTCCCTGCGCTTGCGCCTCCTGCCCTTGCTCTTCGTGCCCTTGCCCTTGGCCCTTAGGGCCAGTGTGCACGTCGAGCTCGAGGTCCGCGTTGAGGAGGTCCGCGGCCTCCGAGAGGTCCATCACCTCTGCTCCGCCGAAGTCTGTGCTGGAGGCGCCGCTGTGCTGCTCTTGCCACCAGTCTGACAGGTTGTCGCCGCACTTAGAGTCGACCTGTTCCACCAGTTCCTCTTCACCGCCGGTTTGATCTCCACCTTCTGCCCCTGCTGGTGACGCAGCTTGCTGGCCACCTCCTTCTGAAGTTGCTGCTGGGGGAGCGTCTCCGCTGGAGCCCACTCCGCGCATTGCCGGCAGCGCGCGCGGTGACCGAAGTTCACCTCCTTGCACTACCCGCAACTCCACTTCTTGACATAGTGGGTCAGCGTCGAGAGCGTCTCCGCGCTTGGCCGCCTTGGCACTCTCTTGTTGCCCGTGTTGTTGCACCTGGCTGCCTCCAGCAGCTTTAAACCCTGTGTGGAGGGTCTCCATGCCGCTTTCGGCATCTTCTTGGCCTGGGGCTGATTGGGCTCTGCAGTCTTTTCCAAGTCGACCGCCTGGTGGGAGATCTCATCATTGAAGCCGCGGCTCCCCGTGAGGCTCTCCAGTATTTCCGCCATCGACGGCGAGGCATCCTGGAGCTCCTGCTCGAGGAAGGGCTGCGTCGGACAGGACCTGTCCGCGTCGATCTTCTGCTGCCACGAGAGATCGGAGGTCATCACGTGCTCTTGTACAGGCGCCTCGTATAGAACAGTGTTTCCTGCTCCAGCTCGTAGCGCAGCGCCCGCAGGGTGTCCCTCTCGGCTGGAAGCATGAGGGTCCTTTTCCTGCAGGCGTTCCAGGCGGCTTCCGGCTCCACCTGGAGCACTCGCTGCCGAGAGGCTCTGCGGTGGGCCAGCATTCTTTGGGGCCGCTCGCAGCAGGAGCAGCTGGGCCAGGGACCCCGTGGACTCCATCGTCGAGGAGGATGACGACCGCCCCGAGGTGTTCGATGAAGGGCTTCAGGTGCAGGCCCAGCGCCCCAGTCGCGATCGTCGCGGGCACGTAGACCTGGTGAAAGTTCATCAACTGCTTGGCACGCCATCGCGTCTGGCTCGCGGGCGCTGCGCCCCCCCCCCACCCCACGCGCGCGCCCTGTCAGGGCCCCCGTGGGCCCAGGAGGGGCTGGGGGGTAGAGGAGGAGGAGGAGGAGCAGGAGGAGGAGGAGCAGGAGGAGGAGGAGGAGAAGGACCATTGTAAACCTAAGATTCATTAACGACGTTGCATACACCTGTCCTCCAAGTTCCCTCTTCATAGGCCCCATACGCGGATACATATTCACTATGGGACGAACCCCGTTCGAAAATAACCGTTTGAAAATGCGGAATTGCGCCAGAGCGCTATCCTTCGGACATCAACGCCGCGAATCATTGTTATTGTTGCGTCTTGAGTCGCAGAACGCAGTTCTTGGGACTCCACACCGCGAACCAGCGGGACTGTTGCGCCCGGACGTTCGGACATCAGGCCCAAACGCCGCTTGTAGGACGTAAACCATGAGACTATTCGAAACTGCTGTAGACTCTTGAGACGACTGTGCGAGGCGCTAAGGCGAGAGACACATTTGGAAAAGGAACCGCCTTCCATCCGCGAAACTCTTGCAATGTGTTAAGGCGAATGTGCGCAAGTCGAGAGCCACATGTTGAAAAGGGGCTGCCCTCCATGAGTGAAACTCTTATCTAATGTGTTGAACGAATGTGCGCGACGATAAGGCGAGAGCCGCAATATGAAAACGGGCCGCCCACCATCCGTGAAGCTCTTGAAGTTCTTAACACGAATGTGCGCGGCGCTTGGGCGAGAGCCACATGTTGAAAAGGAACCGCCCTCCATCCGAGAAGCTCCTGCCATTTGTTAATACGACTGTGCGCGACGCTAAGGCGAGACATAACTTTAAACCGGGCCGCCCTCCATCCGCGAAGCTCTCTTACAACTTTGTATCACGAATGCGCGCGGCGCTACAGCGAGAGCCACATTTTGAACACGGGCCGCCCTCCATCCGTGAAGGTTTTGCAGAAATCAAGCTTCAGGGTCATAAGCGGTGAGGAAGTCTCAGGCGAAACGCTTGGCCCGCCCTTTCGAGCCTCGGGGTGCGACAGGGAGGAGTTATCCATAAGGAGAGCGTATAGAGGAGGAGGAGGAGGAGGAGGAGGAGGAGGAGGAGGAGGAGGAGGAGGAGGAAGAGGAGGAGAAGGAGGAGGAGGAGCAGGAGAAGGAGGCGGAGGAGGAGCAGGACGATGGAGCATGGATGTGCCTCCGTCTTTTGACCAGCTCTGGAAAAGAAAGCGGCAAGACGCAAGCAGCTCATGTAGCGCCATGCGTAGCGAAGCGGGCTGTACGGCGCACGCGTCGCGCCGCTTCTGCCTCAGAGTCGTTGGCACGCCCATGTGGTCGATCAGCCGTGGCATGACGGGTGCCAGGATGGTTCGGAATTGCGAAACAAGCCACCCGATCGGGCCGAACGTAAGAAGGAACCATTGGGAATGACCGCCGCGCCACGGGTCGGCATGACCGTGAGCCGTATTTCGTGAGGACCACGATCTTCATCAGCAGGAGATGCACGAGGAGCTGCCGCAAACACGACATAACAAGGACCATCAAGGTTACCAGTCACATCAGGAGGATCATATCCCGTAATGCCTTTACAGTAACCTCGACAGTAGGAGGAGGAGGAGGAGGAGGAGGAGGAGGAGGAGGAGGAGGAGGAGGAGGAGGAGGAGGAGGGGAGAAGGATGAGGCGAACGAGAAGGAGGAGCATGAGGAGAAGGAGGGGAAGAGGGCAGAGAAAGGAGGAAAGATGAGTAGAAGGAGGAGAAGGAGGAACATCATTATGAGTACGACGAGGAGGAAGAGGAGGAGGAGGAGAAGGAGGATAAGTATGAAGAGGTGGATGGGGGCGTTAGCTCTCGGCGTGCAGGAGGAAGTGCTGAGCATGGACCACGCCCAGGACCCGCCGCCGCCGCCCCCAGTCCTGCAGCAGCGGGGTCGGCAGATCGGGGGCGGGGGGGGGGGGCGTGGGGAGAGCAAGCGGCTACACCCCAGATGACGAGCTGGAGGAGGAGGACAGAGGAGGAGGAGGAGGAGGAGGAGGAGGAGGAGGAGGAGGAGGCCAGGGTGGGCCTCCTCTGCCTCCGCCTCCTCCCCATCGCCGTCGTTCCCCCCTCCTGCGCTGGATGCTAGTCCTACTCCCC